AATGCACCAGAACAAAGGATAAAATGGCTTAATAGAGGGACTGATTTCTTTACAGGCATATAAAAGCTGAAGGCAGCTGCACACTGTCAAACCTTCTAAGAACACATATTAGCTACTGAACTGGAATTTTATTGCCCTTGCTCTGGAAGCAAAGGTTCCCTGTGCATTTCCCTCACATCCCAATATACTACCAACAGATGTCATGCAATCAGCACAGAAATCCTGATCACACAATGTTTAACAGTGAAGGGTCTCCAGACACTTTTTAAGCCTATGACAGACATCATATATGAACACCTGAGTTTCCTTTTGTCTGAAGCTGTGCATTCATGTTTAGAAGAAACAAAATCTTACGTCCCAAAGTTCTCTCTCATACAACCAGACCATTCCCACAGTGGTGCCTGATCTGCAGTGAGTCAATACATAAGGCATCTCTTGTAAGAAACACTCTAAAGATACGTGGACTTGTGAAAAAGATTGCTTTGGATATTTCCCTTGGTAAAGTGTGGTCAGCAGTCCTGCCTTTGTGATTACCTAAGTTTGGTAAAGAATGGTGACACCAGCAGGCTGAGTTTCTACATACCATGTTCTGTTTGAGGTGGTTTGACTTCATTGCTTGTGCACTTTCAACACTTGATTCCTTCCTTCCCTTTCACTCTGGCTAATAGTTTTTTTGCCTTTGTAGAACACCATTAAGTCCCCAAACTATTGTTTTGAGACTAAAAGAACGGATTTAAAACAAATACTTCCAGTCTGTTGCTAAACAACTTGAGATTTACTTTGCAGCACTGCTGAGCAGTGCTTTCAGAAACGTTACTAAGGGTTTTGAATAAACAGATTGCCCCAAGGAAGGACTGCCAGGTAAACAACCTGCTGTATTACATATTATGTAGTCTTATAATAAAGTTCAGCAAAACACCACATATTGTTGCAGTTCTTTTCATTCAAGCAGATTTCTTCCTTTTCAAAGCATTCAGACTGGACAATCTCCACTGAATTTGCAGGGGATAAGACCACTAAAACACAGATGGCTAAAGATTTATTGTGACCATTAATGCATTTATTCTCCAATATGTGCTTTTCCACTATTAAGTTCCCATAAAAGTGAATTTTATGCAAGTAATTTGTCTAAGATTATTCCTTTGGGGATTTCATACAGTGAGTATCATCAAGCTTGCCTGACAGCAATAAGATACCATGACCTAAAGTAATGTTCGGGGCAAATATAAAGCACAGGAGTGAAACAGAGACTGAAGGAAAAACGTTTTGGAATCAGAACACAACAGTAGCAGAGGCAGAAGACCAAGAAGCAGAAAGAAGCCAAGGGATGAAGGGTATGCAACAAATGGGTGCTCCTCCCTTCAGAAACACATGGGCAATTAAACGTGGATAATATTTCCATATGTCAAATGTAAGCAGCTTAAATCCATTCACTCTTCAAAATTACCAACTACACTGGCAAATGGAGTGGGCTTTGTTACAAAAACTCCCACTGCTTTTTAACACTGAGCCTCAAAGGATTTTATAAACAAAGCACATGGGATTATGACCATTTTACAGCTTGTGACTGTTAAGACATAGAGAACTAATCTGACCATTCTTGGTCAAGAAAAAAATGGGAACACATTCAAAGGTTTTGCCCACCAATAGGATAAAAATATGCAAGGACAGCTCAACACAAACCCTTTCAGTTACTGTTTATTCTCTAAAATATATTTGAGCAAATAATTAATTTCTGCAGGCTTACACTGGAAATGAATATACTTCAAGAAGGTTGTTAGACTGAGAATGGGATATAATTCTGCTTAAGTATTATCAGACTCAAAAGTCTGATAAAATAGCATGAAGCAAAAAATTAGCCATTAGATGTTCTTGTGGAACTGAAACCACTTGTTTGAACCTCAGCCACACAGGTCCCCTGAAAACTTCCTAAGCCTTAGTTCAGCTGGCACCACTTGATCTTTTAGTGTGATGAGATGCTTGGTTGAGCATCTGGAAGAGCTTTCACAGCAAGGCCCTGGTGAGAATGTGGTTTGAGGAAGAAAACTGCTAAGCCATCCAAGTAATGACTTTTACAGACAATCAGATTTGGGGAGATGCACAGGAGTACTCTCATTTCTCCTGTTCCCTAGACACAGATGTAGCTGCAGCTTGTATTCACAGATAAATTCAAGACAGAACCAGCTGCAAGTTGCTAAGACTTAAGAGGTGTCCCACTGGAATTTTTTTAACCATTTCAGAGAGGAAACTACCTATAGTACAGCAAAAACCTGAATAATTTTTTCAGTAACCGAAGGAGAGACAAAGGCAAGGCAAATATTTTTGAATACAAGGATGTAATGCAAATGTTGAAACTATGAGAGGGTAGGACACTAGAAAGTCAGTAAAATACCCAGAATACCAAAAGTTAGGATTCAATGGCCCCAGCAATTTCAGAACCACAATGTTTTGTGGCATAAGAGGAATTCGGGGGCTTTAGACACTATTATATTTCTAAGTTGTGACTTACATTGTTGGCTCATGCATAAAAATTTTGAGAAGATTTGCTAAATGTAGGTCCCACTGTAAACTGAAATATAGCAGAAAACATCCTATGTATATCACCATATTAATACAAAAGATAGTGACATTGTATATTTTATTGAGCAGGATCTTTCTGCTAGTTAAGTGATAACAGAACTTTGAGCCTGAACTGCTTTGTGCGCAGGGACACACACTTCTGGTAAGGCAACAACTGCAAAGGTATCCACCCAAATAAGGTTGTTACCATGGTACCTTGGGGACCATTCTGAATTTGAGGGAATGATTAGAGAAATGTTTTCTCTAAGCAAGGTGAAACATCTTTCTTAGGAAAAACATCAAAACAAAGGCTTCAAATGCCTCTCACAGTGAGATTTACAATTAATACCCAGGTGCTAGAATCCCTGAGACCCCCAAAATGTTGAGCTTACAGCATACACCCTTCTCCATTTTCCACTTCAATTTAATAAAGAATAGAGATCCCCTCATGACAAAGCTACAAGTCACTCAACCTTGCCCCCAAACAGAGTTGAGGTGTGACCATTTGCTTTCTATTTGCCCAAGACAAAGTGAATTTCATCCAGAAAAATCTCTGTTGCAGTAAAACTATAGAGCACTGATGTAATTTCTGAATTTCAGTTCTGAAATGTGCATCATGCCTGCACTTACTGCAAAGGCCCCTTTAGCAGAAGGGGAAGCATGATTTTATCATTTCTCTACCAACAGTCTGATTACACTTTAACTGAAAGAAATCAATGGACTTTTAAGACCTCTCTCAAGTCACAGCTTTATAAACAGTTACATGGCAAGAAAATAAACAGTTTATCATTCCTGTTGTACAGTAATACAAATGTTAACTAGTTGAAACTCTCATGAGAAAATGCATTCTCATTTAAGCACTGTGTTTATATTCTAATGTACAGAATTTGCAGACAAGACTATAGACAGTAAAATAATAGAAATATGTGCAAATACTATCAAAATAATTTTAGTCAATAATCCTGATAACTTTCTAGCTGAAGCAGCTGTCAGACAAGAAGTCTGCAGATTGCTGGTTTTCAGACAGATACAACAGGAAGCTTCAAAATCTCTACTGATTTGGAAGTGTAAGCACCCAAAAATATAACCCCCCCAAAATATAATCCTGCTTATATCCTCTTTGGATTTCCAGCCTCAAACAAACAACAAATGTCACTCCTGTTTCAATGCAGAAAGCAACAGTGAACATGCAGCAACAACATGCGTTACAACATTTATACCACCACTCCTTACTGAAGTTACCTATCAAGCTTTGGAAGACCAAACTTCAGGACAACTCACTGCTTAAAGGGGGTCAGAACCATACTGTGACCATCTTGGAGAACATCCCAATCACAGAGATGAAGCCTACTTTGG